ACAAGTTTCATGAGGATTTCCTGGTGAGTCTAGCACCTCTTCAAGTCTTGAACTGGAACTCAGAAGATCTATGCTGAATTCTTGGCTTGACTGATTATTCACTCTACATACAACAGGCCAGTCACTTGGCTTCTCTGAACTTGAATTTCCTGATTTTTAAATTTAATACATACATAACATCACAGTGCCTGATTCATATTATATGCACATTCTATATTGAGAGACTTTTGCCCCCTTCATGGGAGGAGTTTACTTCTTGGGTGTCTGAGGTTCAACCCTTCCTGCCCAACACACAGAAGGAAGCATAAAACAAGTCAGGAAACAAATGGCTTCTACCCTGGGATCACCTTGACTTCTCCTGCCCCCTGGGACTACTGTCACTAATCCTCCTGCTTCTCAGGTTCTGGACCTGCCTGCTTTGATCTATGAGGTTGTATCCAATACTTTCCACCCCCAGAGACACTTCCGAAAATCAACCTAGTGTTTGCCTACCCCCTCATGGTTCTCACTGTGTCAGCCTTAGCTTAGAATGGATCTCATGCCTGGATATCTTGCCTGATGTTCTGCCAGACCCTTCCTGCTCCCATGGTCCCATTCCAGATGCCTCCTCTCGGTTTTCCTGGGCCCATGGCAGTTAATACCACCAGGCTCAGAGCAGCAGTAGTTTCCAATTACATCCATGAACCCACCTCTCAAGCAAGGATCTGAAAATTATTATGGCCTGCTCCCAATAAGCCTTAACCCAGTGCTCAGCTGAGGGGGGCCAACGCTGTGTTAGGCACTCTAGAGGGACACCAGAAATAAAGCAGAATAGCAATTGTCCCTGTCCCCTTATACAAACCCACAGTTCTGGTAACCTTATCTTGAAAAACAGATTCTAGCATTAAAGTCCTAGGAAGGACACAGGATCAGGGATTCATGTAGGAGCAATCTGAAAAGGCTAGAAATCTTCAGGATGGGAAGCTGGGAAGGGCTTGATCACCACCAAAGGATCTTTGGACATAGATGGAAGAACCCCCAATTTCTAGTTCCTTCTCTAAAGCTAATTTACTTAGAAAAGTCTCCTCCCTTCTCTAGAATGTTCTTTCTCCATATCAACAATGAAGTAGATGGACTTAGTTCACAAATCTGGTTGATTCTCCTGAGAAAGTTTTTACAAAATGCAAGTATTATCCTCCCCCAATCATCGTCCAACCTAGTATCTACTAATCAGAATCTCCAGGGCTCTGAAATTCATACTTTTAAAGGTCCTCAGGTGTTTTGGGGACCACTGAATTCAGTGATCTCCAAGGTCCCATCTTGCTCTGACATTCTGTGATGTCAGATTCCAGACAGAATGAGCAAAGAGAACCAACAGGATGAAGCTCAAGCAAGACAGGCCCACATACATAAGAAGCAGGACAGCCCTTGGACAATGGGCAGTGAACTCAGAAACCCCATTCCCCAAAGAGGTAAAGCTGGTGGGAAACATAAATTGATTCCAAGCAACTCCAAACAGATTTATTAGGGTCAGGGCCATCTGAGGGAGCAGGGAGGACCACCATGCCTGGAAAGCTGCTGAAAGCAAGAGAATTCTAGCTGTATAAATCATGATCTGACCTGGGATGGCAATCCAGTTCCCATGGAATCCACTCTAGAAAGATTTTTCTCTTTGGACCTTTCCATCAGAAATCACTGAAAATAAAAACAAAATTTTGTGTATAGAAATCACCTGAGACTAATATATGTCCACTGAGTTGGGAAAATACTGATCCCTTTATTGAGAAACAGCCCTAATGTCCCCCCTCTTATGGAATGGGGAACGTAAGTCTTGAGATTGGGTGTCTCTGCTTCCCACAGTTAGAAATTGAACAGGAAGTTACGCAATTTTAAACTGTATTCATCATGCGTGTCTAATGTCATACGTTCTTCTACGCACTTTGCTTAAGTCATTATTTAGTAGTCTCACTAAGTCCAATCTTGGTTTGTTCAGATTAGGAAACTGAGGCTCAGAGAGGTATATGATTTACCCCAGGTATCATAGCTGGTCAGGAGCAAAATCCAGGGTAGGAAAAGTTAGTCCATCTGGATCCAAAGGGCTTCTCTTCCTACCTCACCAAATACCCTACCTGGTCAAGAAGTAGAATCCCAGCATCTCTGGGAATGTCTCAGAACATTTAGAGCAATGTTAACCGAGACTGAAGTTAGAAGTGGGTCCCACGGAAGGGGAGATGCTTAGGTAGGGTGCCATAGCCATACCTTTAGCTCTCTTCCACAGCACAGTCTTGAGGAAAAAAGAAAGAAAAAAAAATACATATATATTCTTTCATTTCCAGGATTGAATTAACTGCATGGATTGTCATGGCTCTGCCCCAGATTGAAAAGGCTGCCCCCAAACTCAGGCTGCTTGCTTTAGGCACACATTGGATCTGAGAATAGCCTTCAAAGAGGTGGAGATCATATGGAGCAAGTGGATTTTTCAGCTCCCTTTCCAGGATTATCTTTTTTTCTCTGTCCCCATTCTCATCCCCAGCTCACTGAGTTTAAATCCCTAGGTGCTGCTGGTGGAGGATCTATATTCACAGAAACTCCCCTGGTCACATTTCCCATTGTCAAGAACAGCACCTGCCCTGGGGGTAAGCAGGAATCATGGACACAACTCATATTTTTAGAGTTTTGGATTTTACAAAGATCTTTCATATCCCATACTTCCTTTAATCCTCATGCCATTCCAGCCCCTTTTACAGACCAAGGCGCTCTATCAAGGTCCCACAACCAATAATTGATAAGGCTACCCCTAAATCCATGTCCTTTTCTATTCACCACTTGGGCACAGCCCACACTTAGGATTTGGGTGCTGGAGAGGATAAAAAGGCAACTGGCCAAGAGAACTCTGCTAAAATGCCCTCAATTATAGAAGAGTTAGCTCTTTGAAATAACAGGTTACCTCCTTTAGAATACAGAAAGATCATAAAATTAACAATCAACCATTCACACCAAACATGAATGGATTCATCACCTTCTTGCCCTTGAAACGACCTTCAGAAACCAAGTAGAAATCAACATCTTCATTTCAAAAAAGTGAAGCCAGCGGAGAAAAGCGTTGAACACACAGTGTTGAGTAGCTGTATACATTGGAATCTCAGCTAGAACTTTGGTCTCTGACCTTGGGGTCAGGGCAGTATCACAAAAGCCCACCACACTGGCCAAGTTTTCAGATTATCAAAACTACCCAGTGCAATCTCAATCTGATTGCTTGTAGTTAGCAACCCAAATTAAGCTTTCATTTCCACATCATTAAATTAGTTGAAAGTCTTCAGAAATTTTTCACTTTAACGTTTTAGTGAGCAAAACTATGTATACCAAATTAATTTTTCCACAATTTTCTATAGGTAGAATTTGACTTAATCACATTAGAGGGAAATAATTTCTTCAATCTTATGATGAGATTTTTATATTTTAAGTAAAAGTAACTTATCAAGAACACATTTTATGGAACAATACATCTAAAACTAATGATGTATGGGGATTAACATAACAATAAAAAAAATTTTTTTAAAAAGAACACTTTTTTTTTTTTAAAGATTTTATTTATTTATTTAACAGAGAGAGACACAGCGAGAGAGGGAACACAAGCAAGGGGAATGGGAGAGGGAGAAGCAGGCTTCCCGCGGAGCAGAGAGCCCGATGTGGGGCTCGATCCCAGGACGCTGGGATCATGACCTGAGCTGAAGGCAGACGCTTAACGACTGAGCCACCCAGGCGCCCCCAAAAGAATACATTTTTTTTTAAAAGATTTTATTTATTCACTTGAGAGAGACAGAAAGAGAGCATGAGGAGGAGGAGAAGCAGAGGCAGAGGGAGAAGCAGACTCCCTGCTGAGCTGGGAGCCGGACGTGGGGCTCGATCCCAGGACCCCAGGATCATGACCTGAGCCGAAGGCAGATGCTTAACCATCTGAGCCACCCAGGCTCCCCAAAAGAACACATTTTTAAGAAGTTGTTATAGGTTGTAAAAATGTTAGAATTCTGGCCAACATGAAATCTGACAATTCCTCAAGATCCAGCCTAGCTCAAAGATAGAGAATTTCAAAGGAAATGGCCCAGTGGCAGTGGAGGGATGGGGTGTGCTAAATGATCCTGAGCCACCCCCAGAAGGCCACGTAAGGACATTGGGTGCTCTGGGTGAGGGACTTAGAAAAGAAGAGCCTGCACCAGAGACAAATGTGACGTGTTTCCTCATTTTTTTTATACTTTCTCTTGCATAGAGAGCCTGAAAGCCACCTTCACTGTGTTGATGAACCTGAGTTGGTTGTAAATAAGGAGGCTGAGCCTTGTTGAGGTCCTGACAGATAGAAAAAGCCACTAGCCAGGTGTGCAAGGTTTCCTGCTCCCACCACTATCCTGGCTCCCTGGGTCAACGGGGGCAGAGGGTCTTGGAGCTGACTCTATGTCCGGTTTACTCTTTTGAGCTTCTCCAAGCTAAGAGGATCTTATACGCATATGTCCAACCTTTGGGAGCAGGTTCAATGCAGTCACAGTAGCATAGATTGAGCACCTGTTGTTTGCCCAGCACTGTGCCAGACTCGGTGAGAAAGGAGGAGAGGGTCCAGCCACTGCCCATGCCTGTCTTACCTGACAGGGGTCTTCTCTCCTTCCTGGTAACTCTCATAGTGCCGTGTTCACCAGACCCTCGGAGGGTTTTTTTTTCCTTATCGTCCTGTGTTGTAGAGTCACATCCCTTTTGGACTCCTTTAGGAGCCTGTAAGCTTCTTAAGGCCAGATCAGTCAGCACCATCTGTGTCTCTCCCCTCATATCTGACCAGGACCTGGCACAGGGTAGATCCTCAACAGACGTTTCCAGTTTGAATGGCTGATCGGTGTTTTTTGCCCTGGCCCTGGTGCCATCTTGGAACATGGGTTTGGGGCCATGGAGTTGACAGCTCGGAGGCAGCCCGGGGAAGCCTATGGAGGAGGGAGGGCCAGGCCAAGTGAGTGATTGTCTTTCCTCTTGTGCCACAGTTCATTGGCTGTTCACCACGTGCGGGGCCAGTGGGCCCCATGGCCCCACACAGGCGCAGTGTAACAATGCCTACCGGAATACCAACCTGAGCGTGGTGGTGGGGAGCGAGGGCCCCCTGAAAGGCATCCAGACCTGGAAGGTGCCAGCCACCGACACCTACAGGTGCGTATGGGGGAGGGGGAGGCCAAGGGGCAGATCTCCCCTTCTGAAAATGATGGGGTGCTGCCTGTGGGTGCATGCCCTCCAGGTGCCTGGGCATACCCTAGGCTCAGAGGCCACAGACTCTGGTATAGAGGCTGGAGATGGGGAGATTTGGGATAATGGGATATGGCAACAAAGATGTGTCCCTTGTCCTCAAGGAGCCCAGACTATTTGTGGAGATGATATACATGCATGAGCTAGCTTCAGAATATTCTTTATTACTAATAATTATAATTATAGTGGATTCTTTGAATACTACATCATACTGTTCACACAAATCAGCGCATGTAAAATGTCGGGGAAACAAACGTTCGATGTACATGAAAGATGATGCCCTTACCCTTGAGTCCTCTTCCCTGGGCCTTCACTGTTCACAAGTAAAGCAGCTGTTCTCAAACTCTTGTCCCACACCCAACCCCAGTTGCACAGTATTCCACCAAAACAAGGCCAGGCTGGAGGGAGGCCTGACCCCAACGGGCCACTTAGCTAATAAGTGAAGCTTGACAGCAAGGCTCAGACCAGTGGTTCTCAACCATGAAAAGACTGGACGGCTGGGTTAATGCAGGTTACTGGCCCCCCTCACAGAGCGTCTGATTCTGTAGGTCTGGAGAGGGGTCCAAGAATATGAATATTAAGAAAAATCTTAGGCTAAACATTTTTATATGAATGAAGCAAATATGACAAAATACTGACATTTATTGGATCCAGGTTGGGAAGGGAGACATAAGTGGTATTCATCGTGCTGGTTGTATTCATTCATTCATTCAATGAGAATATGAATTTCCAGCAGGTTCCCAGGTGATGTAATACAACCCCTGAGAATGACTAAATTAGGTTGAACCCTTGCGGGTAGTCCTCCCACAGCTCTGGGGACATAGGCCAGTGCTGCAGTCTTCATTTGACACATGAGGAAACTGAGGCCCAGAGAGTCAGGAGCCTCACCATAGACAGGCCAGATATCACCTCCAACCCCAGACTTCTGAGTCTGAGCCTCCTTCCACAGCAAACGGCAGGCTTAAACAGGAAGCAGCATAATCATGATATTATTGGTGCAAATGCCCCCAGATGCTGAACACAGTGGGACATGAGCTCTCTTTCCCCTTCCTCAGCCCCCAACCCCCAGCACATCCTCAGCCCCCCTGGGAAGGAAAGGAGTGTCTCAAGTTGCCCGGTTTTCTGTGCAGCCCCACCTCTGGGACCTCAGTGTAAATGCATTTCGGGGAGAGCCCTAAGTGCTTTTTAAATGACATTCTGGGCAGGAATGCAGTAACAAGGTTTGGCTGCAATCAGATTAGCTGCTCTAGGTCCCACACATCCCCAGTAAATGGTCAAAGACACCCAGCCACCCCTGGACCTGCCACACTGAGCAGGCCAGGTCTCCGCTCCCTGCCTGGCTGAGGTTCCCTGGGTCAGCCCCCATCCCAGAGAGATGGAGATGGATGTTTGCTGAGGTCTCATCAAGTATTTCTCCCCCTTTTAGCAGTGAGGCAGATGTCATTACTATGATTACTGAAATTCCCTTGTTTCCATAGGGGGAAACTGGAGTCAGCAGCTTAGCAACAGATCAAAGTCCACATAACCAGTAAACCCAGGGCCTTCTGGCTCAAAGTCTGTGTGTTCTTTCCACTAATGCCCACATCTGGACTCTGAGAGGCATGCAGGGGGCAAGAGGAACAAGAAAGGGAAGGAGGCCTAGTAGTCACGCACCACCCACCTCCAGGAAGCCTCTGGAAATGAAAGCCTAGGAGGGAAGGCCCCACCACCTGCAGGGATGCTGGCCGGCCCAGCCCTGCGTGCAGATCCCCATGTATAAGAAGCAATGTGAAGAAGAGAGCAGAGGAGCTGGGGGGCAGAGAGACCTCAACAGTAAACGCCCAACAAGACCGACTGTCCCATCCCCATCCAGGGCAACTCCCAAGCCAGACCGAAAGTCCCTTACTGCCCTTCCCACAAAGATCCACAAATAGGAGGCACCACGTAAGGGATTACTCTTGGGCTGCATTCCCCCTGAGACAGTGTGAATCAGACCCACTTCCAAACTCAGGCAGGTCATTTAATCCCTTGAGGCTCTGTTTCCCCATCTGTAAAAGGCAGGAGTTGGGGGATGCTAACATCTGCCCAGTGGCTTGCGAATGTGACGTACAAATGCCTCGCACATGGCCTGTGCGCACAGGCTGTTCCCTGGCCTGTGGGCAGAGAAATCAGCGGGAGCCGTGAGAGCGTCAGGCAGCAAGCAGTGGCCAGAAGCATTTCCAGGAACGGACTGATCCCACAAAGGGTACTTCCTGACTTCACCGTTTCAAACAAGGACTTTTTACCAACTCCTTCCGACATGGGCCCCATGTTTCAAAAGATTTCGCCTGGCAGACAAACTGTACTTAAAAAATAATAATTAATCACAGCCACATCTAAGTCTAGCCGGGTTTCTGATCTGCGTGAATCACCACATATTGCCACACTTCCCTGATAGAACCCCAACCCAAATCGGGGAACCTTTTCTCTTTCTCTCTGGAATATTGCGACGAGCCCCCAGAATTGCCTGGTGAACACTCATTGGAAACATGGACAAGGAGCCGTCTTGCTGTTGAAGCAGGACACTTCTTCATTCCAGATTGGCAAAGGGGACACTTTGAATCGTAGGACTTTTTAAAACTGGCCTGAGATAGCACTGTATCAAAAAGGGAAGAGTTAAAACTGAAAAACATTGGGTTTTTGTTGTAGTTTTTGAAACCTTGGGGTTTTTTAACCCTTTAAGGGCTGTAACGGGTATTTCTGACCTTGACCCTGGAGGAGGCTCAGGGCTTGGACAGTAATGCATATTGATCATATAATTTAGTATCAAAGAAACAGACCATTTAATGATTTGCTTTTTAGACCACATCAAAACGTCCCCAAGTCAAAATATCCATGTTGACAAGTTAGGTGCCCTCTTTCTGGAAGACATTTTCTCCATATTAACTAATTCTTGTTTAGTAAGTGCAGCTCATCTAGTGAGGAAGACATGGGACACATCACGGTTTCTCAAGAGGTGAGAAAAAGGAGAGAAAGGGTGGGAGCATTTCTTATGCTCTCCCCCTGTTCCTGGAAGAGTGTCAGTGCTCACTGGTGCTGTCTGGCTGAGACCTGAGGCCTGGCACCATTATTGTTCCCGCTGACTTCTTTACTACTGAGAGGTGAAGGAAAGAGAGCCTACTATATGCCAAGGTGGGGCCATCCTTGCCTGGACCTTCCTCGGGGATGCACACGGATAAAAGTGTGCCCTTATCTTGTGAGTTATCCTGGGCCCCATCTCCCACTCTCTACTCCTTGGCCCACCACCACGAAGGAAGAAACCCAGAAAGAGGGAGAGGAAGAAGAGGCTGGGGGGCAGGAAACAGCAGGCTTGAGAGGGAGGGAGATTCAGAGACAACATCTAAATCCCCATCACCCCCCCAGCTCCCTTCTTTCCTGCCTTGGGCTTCCCCTTCCCCTAAATTTGCCACTTCCTCTGTCAAAACTGATGCTCTCACTCCCTCCAAGTACATATGTCCCGGTGTCCAGACCTGCTCCGCTCCTGCTTCCCAAATCTCTGTGGACACTGTGCCTGACACTAGGTATGTAAAGCTGCACAAGGTCCACTCTCTGCCTAGGAGGAGCCCCAGCCAATGGGGGTGTTGGACATAGAAAGAAAGCATTTATGAGTGATGTAGAAAGTACTTCGGGGGAGGTTTGCATCAGGCACTGCTATCAGAGGCCAGGGAAGGGACTGAGTTCATGAATGGCTTCCACAGGGAGACAGAGCTTGAGTTCGGTCTTGAAGGTGATAGAGTTGTCCACAAAGAAGAGGGGAGGAAGGAGCCCCTGAGGCTGGAGCCTCACATCCCGAATGCTGTTAGCTCCCCCTGGCGCCGGCTTGGGGAGAAGCGAGCCTGGAGGCGGGGACAGCGGTGGAAAGGCGGCTGGAGTGGAGCCCTAAAGGGCTAAGCCAGGGGCAGGGAGACGCACACGGAGGGGCCCGGTGGGGCCAAGATGTGTTTGGGAAGTGGGATCCGCATGATTGCAGGACTGGAGGTGGAGGCAGAACCCAGGCAACAGCCAGTGCTTGGGGCTGAGGAGGCAGGACGGTGAGTGACAGCTACCGTCTCAAGGAGCTTGACTGAGAAGGACAGGCAAGGATTAGGGCAACAGCCAGAGTGACGCCTGATGAACGGAGATTTCTGGAGCACGGATCGGAGAGCCGATGTCTAGAGTGTGCCCATGGGGGTGCTGGCCGACGTGGGGCACCAAAAGGGCATGGATGCTGTGTAGCGGAGGCAGACTGCTGGGGACACCATGCGACTCAGTGCCCACTCAGTAGATGGTCAGCGGCCCCTCTCACTCTTCCTCCCTTCCTCCCCGCTGCCTGCCTTCCTGCTTCTCTAGGGCTCAGCATCCCTCCTCGCCCTCCGTCCTCCCCCCCTCACCACCACACACACAGATCATTTATAAAAACATTTGTCAAGCACGGCCCACAGCTCCTGATGGCAGTTCTCTCATGGTTCACTTGTTCCTGAGACGTAATGTACACGAGGTCCCGGATCCCAGCTGGAGCCAGCAAACCCTGCCGGCTGACCTGGGCCACAGCGGTTCCTGATGGTCTCCATCACTGACACTCATTTCCTCACCTGGCTCCAGGGACCGGTGTGTGCGGCTGGATGACACCGTCATTCAACCCAATCCACCCACAGCCGTGCAGCTCCTACTGTGGGCTGATCACTGACTAGGCGTTGCAGGACTTGCAGAGAGGACTGAGACTCTGGAGCCTCTCACCATCTTTGCAGAGCCTTTCACCATCTTTGCAAAGCCTCTCACCATCTTTGCAACGCCTCTCACCTTCTTTTGTCTGCAGAGCAGAAAAGTTAAATTAACAGTCCACGATGCCAATAAAGTTGTAGACAATTGCAGAAGGGAGTCACGGGCATGATCAATTGCCAGAGTAATTGTGCAGATAGCCATCGCCACGAGGAGCATAGAGCAGGGAAAGTCAGAGGCAGGGAGATTGCGCAAAGATAGACGGGCTGCAGGCAGAATGGTGTTTGGGTCCAAATTCTGCCAGTGACATCATGTGACCTTGAAAGTGTGCTTTCCCTTCTCCCCGGTGGCCCTAGAGGGAGGGGTTGTAGAGAGAAGTTGCTGAGATCCCTTCCGGAGCTGAGATTTCCAGGTGCGAAGGGCTGCGCTGGTCAGGAAGGTTGGAGGACAAAGAGAACCATGAGCCTTGCTCGCCGGAGCAATCCAGAACAGAACTGGGGCTGCGAGAAGCATGTGCCTCCTCCACTCGCCCTTAACAGCCGACCTCCAGCGGGGTCTCCTGATGGCTCAAATGACCCAGCTAGATAATGCAACTATACATCTAAACACAAATTTCCCACAGACCGAGTCCTTACACCCTCCCACGTCTCCTGTGCCCTCACAATAACCCTGAGTGCTAGGATGGGCACGGCAGATCTTACACCCTGATTTTGCAGAGGAGAAAACCAACACACAAAGGAGAGAAGGGGCTTACCCAAGGTCCCACTGGGAAGTAGAGGCAGAGCCCAGAGTTGAGTACAGGAGAGGAATGAGGTGCTTCGCGTATCTCCGAGTGGGGTTGGCTCATTCCCGTCGCCCCGCCTCCGGTGTCCCCGTGGAGGAATGACACTGACAGGCCACCGTGCCCCACACTAGCACGCTCGCATCTCAGGATCGGGCAGGCAGCCACTTTGATTTGCTGCTAATTCATTTTATTTATTTATTTATTTATTTGATAGAGAGAGAGAGAGAGAACAAGTAGGCTGAGAGGCAGGCAGAGGGAGAGGGAGAAGCAGGCTCCCCGCCGAGCAGGGAGCCCAATGCGGGGCTCGATCCCAGGACCCTGGGATCATGACCTGAGCCGAAGGCAGCCGCTTAACTGACTGAGCCACCCAGGCGCCCCTAATTCTTTATTTTAAAAAGATTCACAACTCAATTACATCAGATAACAATGGCTCAGTCAATAATATAAAACGCAAACCCAATAAACATCCATTCTGACTGGGGGGCATGGATTGAGATGAGGAAAAACAAACAAACAACAACAACAACAACAACAAATTACAGCATCAGCTCGTCAAGAACAGTATCTTGTAATTTCCAGTAAATTGGAAGCACTGCAAGTCATTTTCCCCACTTGAGTGGCAGGTATATTAATTTGTTGTCGTTTGTCAACCATCAAAAATAAATTGTTTACAAGGGATGGGGGAGACGCTTCGGAGAGTCAGGCTGAGGTTACTATTCTGGCACGAGTTTGTGTGACATGATTCATAGGACTGGGGGGGTCTTCAGACATGCCAAGGTTGCCTGTGACCCCACTGGCTCCCTACAGAGGTGGGTCCTGGGTGAAACCCAACAGGCCACGCCCCGCTCCACCTACTGCCCTGTTCTCTAGAAATCGGGGCCTCGTTCCCTCACTCGCTCCCCCTCCCAGAAGTCACCCTGGAAGAGGAACGGACAGGCTCACCCACCAGGATGCATCCAAACAGTAGCTACGCTGTTGCTCACTGACTACCCTCCAGGGGCTGAATTAGGTCCCTTACAGGTATTATCTCATTTAATTATCACAACAATTTTTCAAGGTAGTTAGTATCATCTCCTTTTTTATGGCTAGGGAAACTAACTGGAGCTCAAGCCCAAAGGTCACACAGCTAATGAGTAACCCTGGTGGGGCCAGGACCAGGAGAGGTAAGCAAGGTGCCTCAGGTACAAAATTTAGGAAGGCACCTGCTCTCAGGGTCGATGGGGTACGGGGTCAGCACCTGGGAGGGAGGGGCCTCATCCACCCCGGGGCTTGAGTAATGGCTTGGATTTGGATCCAGTTCTGTCTGCATTCAAGCCCATCCATGTTTTTCTCACTGTGGCACAGCCCACTCCAGAGATCAGCATTGTAAGTAGTGACCTGGATGTGAGACTAGAAGCTTCCAAAGGAATGCCAGGCCTCAGAAGGCTGATGAGGAAGGCGCTGCTTCTCCTACAATTAGTCCAGGCAAGCAGTTGCCTGCTCCCCTGGCTTTAAGCCAGCCCCTAGTCCAGGTCGGAAACATGGGGCAGAGACCCACACAGGAAAGTAAAATGCGGCTGTTGACAGCTGGTGGCCAAGCTCTACTATCTACTCTGTAGAGCTGACCCAGCCTAGAGTCCTACCTTGCACTTGGTATCTGTGTGCAGTCTTTTCAAATCCATTACTTCTCCTCATGAGGGCAGGGATCCTTGTCCTCATTTTTTCCCTCGGTGGGGAAGCTGAGGCTCCTGGAGGTTAACCAGCTTGCCCCAAGTCACACAGCCAGCAGAGCACCAGGTATATGACTCAGAACTCAGTCCTCCTTGCATCCCACCTCATTGCCAAGAGCTAGGTCTAGACCTAGATGGGGCTGGGGGCTGGGGTTCCTATTTGGGGGTGGGGGTGGCAGGAGAAATAGGAAAGAAGGGCTAGGGAGGAAAAAGGAGTCAGGAACAAACAACTTCTAAAATATAATAATTTGGCTAAATTTAATCATGTGAAAGAGTTCAGAATGATTCATAATGCAGGCAGATTGATGCAAATGACGATGCAAATGATGCAGAAAGGGCTGAGCAGGGTATAGCTTACCTCTCAGCCATAGCGCAAGTGGGCAGGACAAGGTCTCCGTCTCAGGCAGCAGTTTTCCAAGCAAACCATACCTTCAGGTTGAAAAGAGTTTCTCCTGACAAAGCCCTGGAAATACGGAGTAATGAGCAGAACCAAGGTTGGGGGGGGACCACACCCTCTCTCTAGATTCTACACAGGTCATCCTTGGAACCCCACCACCACCTGCCCCTGCCTGCCCCAGGCTTCCCTTCTCTGAGCTAAATAATCCAGCTGCTTTCCTGTCACCAATACGCCTTCCTTTTCCCTCTGTCTTTTAATAGTCTTGGCCACCTTCTCCATTTCTAATGAGTCAGGAGCGAGGATGGGCCAGTAGCGTGTCCGACCACCCTCGCTGTGTATCCAGATAAGCCTCGCAACAGCATATCGGAAAGAAAATGGCCTTTTTGAGGGGATGGGGGCCTGGACCAGGGTCTGCCAGTGACCGGCTGTGTAGCCTCAGATGAGTTACTTAGTCCCTCTGAGCCTCAGTGTCCTCATCTGTCAAGTGAATTACTAACAGCTACTATTTACGGTTATTGGGGAGATGTCCTATGCATTCATGCCTGCCCCCATGTAGGACGCTCAGGAACTAGCGCCTACCCTGCTCGGCAGAGCTACATCACTTGCCTGCTCCAGCCACCATCTGCAGCCACTTTGTGCAGAGATCTGTCACTTTCTCAGGGCTTTCGCCCATGATCTCTTTTTGATGCTGAACCTCTCCGCTACCCTGTGAGTTCAGAGAAGAAGATACGGTTCTTCTTTGACTGCAGAAGAGGCTGGGATGCCAAGAGGTCACACAGCTAGGAAATGGTCCGCTCTGGTCATAGAACCCCGGAGTCTCTTTGCCTCCCTAATATAGCCACCCTTAAGGTGAGACTTCTCTTTTCATAACATAACTGTCTCTCCAGTTTCTTTGGAAGCCCCATGAGGGGCTGAAGCCCACCTCCAGTCTCCCCTTATGCACACAGCCTTGAGCCGTGTCAGCCTTCAGTGAGCTCCACTCAGTGTCTGGCCACCGACAGAGTGACAGACATCAGACTCTCCATGGCATTGCACAGAGACCTCTGTACTTCACCTGCCACGTTAGCAATCTGCCAGCCCTCCAGGCTTCTCCCTGCACAGACGGGCTTAGCTCTGCCTTAGGAGAGCCCCCAGGAGGCCCGTCGCATGCTTGGAACACCGGACATTTCCTAGAAGTCACCACGTGTGCACATGTACAAAACCGCCTCACGTATCTCCCTGAATGCTTTTCGTAAAGGACCTTGGATCTGAATGCACAGAGACATGAAAGCCTCCCAAGACCTTTCCCTGGCAGATGGTCTCAGGGGAGGCATTTGTAGCCGGCATGTAGCTGTCTTCAAGACGTACTGCTTTCCTGATAAGGTTCACCAGTTGAGTTCTTCTCCTCCCATCCTTGGGCGACTCCATCTCAACAACCTAAGAGGCACAGAAATAATCCCGCGCTCCCCCCCCCCCTGCTGTTTTTATTCATCATGACTGGTTGTTTTCTGTACACACATGGCTCTAGAAAGAGTTACTAGTGGGATGGGAATAAACAATCTGCGCTCAGAAACACTGCTCACCTTGGTCATTCCATGTGGGACTTCCTTGTGTCTAGACCTGGGGAGGAAACTTGAAAAGTGTATACCCAGTCAATTACTGCAACTTCCACCAGTATAAAATTGTAATAATATATATTGTATAATACTATGGAATAACTTATTATGTGTCAGCTACAATTCTATGGCTACATGTCTTAATTCCTTTAATCTCACACACACACACACTAGAATGTAGGTTCACTTGTTATCCCCATTTTACAGATGTGGAACAGGAAAGTTAGGTCATTTGTCTAAGGTCACATGAGTCCTTTGATCTCAGATGGGGAGAGAAACTGTAATGGGACATCAGAGGTATTCAGGAAATCAACACCCCAACACCCCCCCCGTTAAAACAGACTCTCCCCGTCTTCCCTCTCTCCTTCTCCCTCTCTTTCTCTCTTGCACCCCGTACTAGTTCTTTACTTCCTGGCTCTGGGAATGAGGCATTTCCCTATCCCTCTGTAAACCGGACTCCTGACCATGGGGAGAAGAAGCCTCTTTGCTGACCTCATGGGCTGATGGGAGGCTGGGGGGGAGAACCATCAGGACCACAACAGTGCACTGAGCCCACTAGGAGCTGGTGGGTTGGCAGGAAGGGAATCAGTCTTCATGTGCTCTGTTCTGTTGCAGCATCTCGGGCTACGGAGCTGCTGGTGGGAAAGGCGGGAAGAATACCATGATGCGGTCCCATGGCGTGTCTGTGCTGGGCATCTTCAACCTGGAGAAGGGCGACACACTGTATATCCTGGTTGGACAACAGGGGGAAGACGCCTGCCCCAGCGTAAGTGCCCAGAGCAGGGACCTCTGCTTCACACTTACCAGGATCCGGTGGCCCTTCGGAGGGCATCAACGCTGGATACCCTCCTTCTGGGAGCTCATATTCGAAGATGGCAGGACTCATCCCTCGTCCTGCCTACAAATGCCCCTCCCTTTCCGGGCCCATTAGGGTGTATGAGAAAGGGGGTGGTATGGCTGTTGGGGGTTCACATCCCCACAGAGACCAAGGCTGAGGGATGGGTTTCAAGAGTAACCCTTAAAACTAAAGAACTGGATCCTACTTGAATGGGTAAATGGTGGTTCTTCTCAGCAGACTACAAGCTAAAGCCCATCTCCTAAACTTTCTTGCTGGGGCACCATTGTCCTTAGTCCTATTATTATAAACAGGACATATTACACATGAGAAAATCGAGAGTACAGAAGGGAAGGGACTTTTCCAAAGCCGCTCACAATGCAGCACGGAGTAGGGACTCTGGCCCCTGCTTGTGCTGTGCCCGGACTTGCTTGGGCCTCGGTTTCTATGCCCTTTTCCCACTGAGAGCCCATCATCGGACAAGCCAGACTGCCATCCTCTGCAGCCGCAGAGACAGCCTGTCATTCTGGTTTCTGACCCCACTGGGGTATCCATCTGTCAAACAGGGAGTGCTCCAACAGCAGGACTTGAGAAAGCCAGTGGTGGTCTAAAATGACCAGGAGAATCAGACTTTGAAGACTAACAAAGCAGCAGCTGTGGAGACTCCAGGCATCCCAGTTGTTTGCCTCTTGTCTGTGTTGGGGGAGACAGGTCCCTGGAGGTGCGGGCTGTCCTGGCAGAACTCAGCACCCGGAGGCCAGGCCACACCCTCCCCTGAAGGCCAACTTCCACCCAGGGTGGGGCCAAGGCAGGGAGCTGGGTTCTAGTGCCCAGGACCCAGTGCCCCTTCTGCAAGAGCTCATTCAAGAGTAGCCTTGGGGAACAGATGTGGGAACCAGGACTACCCAGAAAGCAGTACAATTCCACAAAATAAATTCAGGACTCCTAAAAGCTGGGCCCCAGGCTGGGAGCAAGGAGGAAAGCACAGCACCCACCCCCACCCCCCACCCCCGACAGGGTTAAAACAAAGCAACAGGAGTAAGCTCAGCAGGTGCAACCTTGCACGTGAGAAATGTCTGGACTCCAACTTTTATTTAGCAACTATAATCAGGACTTTCAAGGCTGGTATAATATATTAAGTCATTAAATTACAGACTGCTGTAATTTCCACAGGAATGTATTGAGTGCTAATGTAATTCTTTCATCTAAGCAGAAAGATTGCATTGACTTCTGCAAGGGACTTTTACTTGATTGGATTGTAATCAGTTATGTCTTTTCACAGGACCAAGTCCTTTTTTTTTTTTTAATTCAATTGTAATCTACTTGTTCCTCGGGGCTGCTGCCCTTTATCATTTTATTAATCAACCTACTTGCTCTTGAACTTTGTGAATGCACAGGGAGAGTTCTAAAGAAGCCCATTCTCTTCCAGCCCCCTGCTGGTGGGGCCGGGCATAGCAGGGATGGGGGGGTGGGGGGTTAGTCATGGGTCTTCCCTGTGGCTTCAGGCCTTCTCCTGCAGGAGTCACTGGGAGAGAGAGAAAGAAAGATCTTTTATGGTACTCCCTCAATCTCCAGTCCTCTCTAGGCAGAAAAATGGTGCCTAAAGAGGATCCTCTAAAGAAGGGAGTGCACTCTAAGAATTAAACTGCAGGATTTGGCAGCTCTCCTGGTTCAACAGGACATTGGAGCTGCTCTTCCTTTGTGCCTGGCCTCACCTGAGCCTGGGATGGGCTCTAGCCGCTGGAAACCCCCTCAGCTACTGCTTCTCCAATTTCTCCCAAGCCTCATGTGGTGGCATGACCACCAGACGTGGTGGCATGGGTTTCTTGACATCAGCACTATTGACATTTTGGAACAGATGAGTCTTTGTTGTGGGTGACTGTTGTGGGCACTGTAGGCTCTCTAGCAGCGTCCCTGGCTTCTATCCCCCCAATGCCAGTAGCATCCCCCAGTATTAATGATCAAAAATGTGTCCAGATCTTGCCAGATGTCCCCAGGGGAGCAAAACCACTGGTCTAAGTGTTACATTTCACAACTACCATCACTCGCAAGGCAAATACTGTGAGGGTCAGTGCACACCCAGACAGCCCCCAATTCATTCAAATGTATTCAGCAAATATCTATCAAGTATCCTTCTATGTGCCAGTCACTGTTCTAGCAACTTGAGATAGATCCATGAACAAAAGAAAGATCTTTGCTCTGCAGGAGCTAACATTCCCACTGGGGGAGGAGGGATGAACAAGGACTAGTAGTATCAGTCAATCAAAACACCCAGAAGTGAAAGTGTTCCAGTGAACGGAAGTAGGGTAACAAGAGTCAGGTGTGTAGGGCAGGTTGCAATTATAGACGGGGTGGTCGACGGAAGCCTATTGAACGAATGACAGCCGAGCAGAGTCCTGAAAGGGATTGACCCAGGAACGTATCTGGGGGTGCTAGCCAAGCAGAAGCCAAGGCGGTGAGGTGGGAGAGTGCCTGGTGTACTCTCAATCGGCTGGGGTGAGTGAGGGGAGCAAGAGGGGGAGTTGGTGAGAGATGAGGTGATCAGGCCACCATCAGGACATTTTTAAGCCATAGGAGGGTTTTGAGCCTAAAGGTGGGAATAAGGTGGGATAGGGAGCCTGCTGTGATTTGCATATTGTAAGACTCACTCTGGCCGTCATAGCCTGCTTGGGACCAAGGGAAGAGTCAGCACAATGAATTCAGTGGTTACTGCATTAGTCTGGGCAAGAGATGATGGTGGCTTGGATGAAGATGGCAACAGTGGCTGAATTCTGGGCATATTTGGAATGCAAAATCAAGAAGGATTTCCTGCCCAACTAGATGAAGAACTGAGACAAAGAAAGGATCAAGGATGACTCCAAGAATTGCACTTGAACCATGGGAACGAGGGAACTGCCATCACCTGAGCTAGGAATGGTGTGGAAGGAGCAGGTTTGGGGGCACGGTTAGGAGAGGTCTGGCAGACAGCCAGGTGGAGACTTCTGGTAGCCAATGGAGATGGGCAGTGGGGGGATGGGCATGAGTCTGGGCTCCCTTTAGAGGAAAAGCCATTCCCCAGCCCGACTGCTCCCTCCTTCCCACTCCTGCAATCCCAGCCGTCGGCAGATTCTGTTCACAGGAAGAGGGCGTCCCCAAAGGGTGGAGACCCCACTGGAGCTAGACAGAGAGGAGGAGGAGAGCAGGGTCTAAGGGGATGGACCTTCTTCGTACCACTGGTTCAGACTGGACAGCCCCTTGATTTACACAGGAGGAGGCAGGTCCAGGGAAGTGAGGTGCCTCACCCAACATGGCTCAGCAAATCTCCAGCACAGCCAGTCAAGAAGCCAAATGGGACCCTGTATTTTGTGTTCCACTCTGCCCGGTGGACAGCTCACATTTGGGTCCCCTGCCCCCGGGCTCAGCCCTCCGGGCATGCCCCTGGCTTCTCATGCCCACCCAGCAGCAGTTAGCAGGGTTTCCTCCCAGCACTTCCCCCCCTCCACCCCCCACCCGGACAGCACTGCACACACACAGGAGAAATGTCAGCTCTCTACAGTAGCAATTCAGAACCTTCCCACCCACACTAAATCCACTCTAAGAAATATCAAATTATTTCCATCATTAAACCCAAAATGCCATAAAACAAATTGCATCTTGGCTATTTACCTGGAAATTTCTCTAGTACTCATTGCCGGCAGCCCTGAGTGCTTTAGCATAAGGAGTGGCTCAAGATGAATTGGCATGTCCACTGGCTGGTTCCACAGCAGCAGTCAATGGAAATGTGATGTTTTATTGGCCTTTTTTCTAATAAGTGAAAGAAAAGCCATTTTCCTCCGAATTCAGGTGGATGTTTGGAGCGTTCTTCTTAGCTGCTGTGCCCGACAAGCGGGCTGGTTCTTCCTGAAGCCCTGCCCTCTTTATTCAGGGATTCCCGGATTCTGGGTCACAGGGATTTCCTGCACATCCCCAGGGACTCCCAGATGCCTGGGCACACGCCGGGACCATGTGAAAGAACAGCAGTTGTTTATTCAGTCCCTAACACAGGAGACACCATCCTAGACACCTCTCCTAAGCACATACGGCCTGCCCATTCCACGCCTGCAGATCAGAGAGGTCGAGCACCTTCTCAGGCACGCAGGGGTGTCTGCAGATTCCTGGGGTCGCACCCTGTTCTCCATGATGGACACAGAGCTCCATTTCAGGCCATGTTGGGGGATTTCTGGAGGCAAGAAGTGAGACCTTAGACGGGAGGGAAGAGATGTCCAAAATGGAGAAATGATTTTCACATAGATGGGCTGGGGATAAATCTGAGCCTGGCCTCGCACTGCTGTGTTCTCTTCCCATGATACTTCAAAACTGCAACTTCTCAAAAAACCTTCAGTGGCTCACCACTGCCTAGAGAATGAAGTCTGATTGTAGTCAGGTCTTCTGGCCATTATCTGACTGTCCAGTTGAATTCCCTCACCCACTCGCATTTACACTCCCTCCAGCCCTACCTCACCACCCAGGGCTTTTGTCATCCCCTCTTCAGAGTCCAGAGGATCCTAACAGGTCCTCCTGGACTGTCTCTCTGTCCTAAAGTGGACTTTTCTGAACCAAAGAGACTCCTTGTACTTTTCCCCAAATCCCCAAATTCCCCCCTCACCTGCTTCTCTCTGGGCTCATGCTACTCTCTTCCCCTGGGTTGCTCTAACTTTCCCCCATTTTCTGTTTTAAAATCTCCCTGTGCTTCAAGGTCCAACACCACCTCCTACAGGCAGTCCTCCTTGACCACCAGTCAGCAACAAAGTTGCTTGTTGTGCCCCAACTTCCCTGCATTTTCTATCTAAGCTATCCTGTGGTCCTTCTCTAATATGCTCTAGTGACAGTTGTGTGTGTGTGTGTGTGTGACCCCAACGGATATGAGAGCTGGCGGGGGGGGGGGGCGGTGAGAGCGGATGGGTTGCTGGAACATGAGGTCAGAGCCCCCAGACCACCGGGATGTCACCCCCACGGCCCAGCAAACACTCCGACACTTTAAACACTGCAGTGGCTCGGGGGTCCCCAGAGTGGGAGCCCCGCTCGCTTTCTCAGATAGTTATCGATTTATGTATAGACATATGTCATATATCTATATCTATATCTATCTCTTCAACTCAACTGTCAGCTATTTGAAAGGTCATCAGAGCCTATCATGAAGCACAGAAGGTCTGTCTGCTGGGAAGTAGAGAATCTTGGGCACCAACTGGAGGTGCTTTTTGTTTCTCCAGACGAACCGATTAATCCAGAAAGTCTGCATTGGAGAGAACAACGTGATAGAAGAAGAAATCCGCGTGAACAGAAGTGTGCATGAGTGGGCAGGAGGGGGTGGAGGAGGAGGTGGAGCCACCTACGTGTTCAAGGTAAGGCCAGCTGCCAGGGCTTGCCATGGGCGGTGACTTGTGCGCGTCATGGATCCGTCATGCCGGGTCCTCATGACCACCCTGGGCATGGAGCACCTCAGGCGTCCTTAGCCCCATCTAAAGAGGAGCAAAGCGAGGCGCAGACGGATGTAAGGGTCCCTGTCTGTCCGAGAAAAGGCAGGTTCTTCTCTTGCCAACGTACCAGCCCGATGGCCCCATGCAGGCCTTGCCGTCCCTGCCTCAGAGTTCCAGAGGGTCCCACGGTGCCCTCCTCTGCCCCACGGTGGGCTTTTCTGACATGATCAAAAGCAGGCAAAGGCTTCTGCTAGGTCCTCCCATGGGGACAGTGGTGCTGAGGGCTTAATCTTGAAGTTGTGGAGGTTAGAGCCAGAGACCCCGGAGAGTAGGGAGGAAAGGGGGAGGAGAGAGACATGCTTCTAAGCACCAGCACCCAGTCCTCTGAGGCTAGTGTGAGCAGCTTCAGGAAAAGATCCATCCCCCCCTCCTGGTATGCATTTATTTAGATCTCCTGGTGCTTTTGCTTCTCTGACTGAACCCCGATGGATACGAATACGGGAGCTGGGGGGGGTGGGGAGGGTGAGAGCGGATGGGTTGCTGGAACATGAGGTCAGAGCCCCCAGACCACTGGGATGTCACCCACGGCCCAGCAAACACTCCGACGCTTTAAACACTGCAATGGCTCGGGGGTCCCCAGAGTGGGAGCCCCGCTCGCTTTCTCAGTCTCTGATGGTCTCCCGGGCAGATGAAGGACGGCGTGCCCATGCCCCTGATCATTGCAGCTGGCGGTGGTGGCAGGGCCTACGGGGCCAAGACAGACACGTTCCACCCAGAGAGACTGGAGAATAACTCCTCGGTTCTGGGGCTGAATGGCAACTCCGGAGCCGCAGGTAAGGCGCTGCAAGCCCGCGCTTCCCCGGGACTGACCCCCAGGACAGGCCCCAGGACTGCGTGAGCTTGGGCTCGGCCGGGCGCCATCACACACCTGTGTCTCGGTTGCTGGTGCTTGAGAAGCTGGGAGCTCTGGGTACTGGTACCCACGTCGAGGGAGGGAGGAAGGGCAGGCCACAGCTTGGGGACCTGGAGGCGTCTCTGCGGACGTGGGGTTTGAATTGCAGAGGTCACGGGGCACAGGAGACAGGCAGCTGTTTGGGGACGGGCAGCCCAACCTCCCTGGGTTTCCTCAAATGCAGCTGGACGTGGGCAGATGGAAGAAGTGCAGGCAGAGTCAGGCCTCCCAGGCCCTGTGGTCGGTGCCTCCAGGCCCGGGGCTACCAGCTCGCACGTCTCACTGGAAAAGCTCTTTCAGGAACCTCCGTGGTTTGGCAATCCATGCTCAAGAGTGAGAGCCAGACACACAGAAATCGGAGACAGACACGAAGGGGGTGTGAATTCAGATTCCTCTGAAGCCAGCCATGTCCGAAGAGGAAACGCAGTTCAGTTTTGTATTTTCTTTTCTCCACAATCAGACCAAGGATCTTTGGAGGCATTTAAGATTCGAGGTTGATTAAACAATACTCAAACTTACCCTTCGAGTGAGAAATGGCTAGAAGAGAAGGAAGCATAGAAATAGGGGTTGTGGTCTCCGTGAGGACAACCCAGCGCTATTCTTGGAGCCCCTGCAGGTTGTTTTCTTTGCTTAAAAGCTGTAAGACGGAGTGGGGGATCAGAAACCCCCTCAGCCAGGGACTGCGCAGGGCACAGGGTGGAGTGGCAGACACGGTATCAGGGCCAGGTTATCCTAATTTATTTACCACCCTCATGGCCCACTTCAGGTCCCTAAGTTTGCCGAGGGGGCTTCCCTTCGCCACGAGACATCAACGGCCCTGAAAGGCCCACACGCCACCCTCTGGCTGGCAGAAGGGAGGCCAAATGCTTGAAAACCAAGCCAGATGCCACAGGCCTGCAGCTTCCAAAGCTGATTTGCCTGGGGGCCTCGATTCAATTCTGATCATCCCTGTTCTAGACCAAGCTTGTTCCTGACCTTGGCCTCGGGTCCTAAAACCCGGCTCCTTCTCTTTAGCACGGTACTGATCTCCATCCGCAGCTCCCCCACCTACACGTCCCTCTGCTGCCCCCTCAGGGCCCAGAAGAGCCTCTGCCACACATTCTTCCAGAAGGCCCTTCCAGGCCAGTTAACCCTCGTGGTTCCGCAGACCCACGCACTACTGTTTCTCCGGGTCCTCACCACCCATCACCTGCTGGAACGGAAGTACTGTGGGGTCTTTTGGAGACCCCCTGTTGAAATGTCATAGGAAACAATATAGGTGGAGACAAAGAGGGTCCTGGAATCTCAAGGGCCTGCAGGAGTGATTGATTATGGTTAGCCTGTGGCCTTAAGATAAAGTTGCATTCAACCTCAGCCCCAGGCGTTGGGAAGCACAGCTCCAGTGGCTGTCATCACAGGGGACTGCCTACCCCCTCCCTCAACCCCCTCCCCACCCCCGTCTTTCCTGTACCTGACCGTGGAGCAGCTCTTTAGAAGCAGTCAAGCAAGACAAAGCTTCAGAGTGTGAAAACCTCTGCACACTTGGGTTCTACCTCTTATGCCCAACCATCCCTACCTGTCGTGGTTTAGGAAGCATCTGCCATGCCCACTGTCCCCTTCGGTCTGAACATCAACCCAGTGAGGCAAGTCTTACTATACCCAAGATATAGGTGAGGAAACTGAGGCTCAGAACGGGGATGTGCTGGCCCAGGGTTTCAAAGCCAGTAAACAATAAAGCCCATCGGGTTGTCTGGCCTAGTCCAGGGTCCCTGCAGAGGAACCCCACTGCAGTGACCCCAGCAGGATTTTGACAGTTGGATGCCCAAGGACTTGTTGGGATGCGAAGCATTAATGAAACAAAGTCCCTGCACTTCAGGAGTTGGGGCATGGAGAGGAGGCAGAGGAATAAGTTTAGTTGTCATGCTGCCCATCCCCCCATTTCCCCACCCCTAACCAAACACCCTTCCCAGCTTTTGATCCAAAGGCCTGATGGGAAGCAGGGGTCTGAAGCATGGCCCCAACTGGATATGCACGGCTGAGGCTGAAGCCGGTCTCACTAGGGCCAAGGGCACGCTGCTGTTTTTCCAGCTGTGGATTCTGAAGCCCCCACACCCCCTGGGCGCTGGAGCCGGAGTGAGCACCCTCAGAGCACGACACGCGGCGTCCTGCCTCCTGTGCCGGGCCCAGCGGCGGACCGGACCGACCCTAGCCAGGATCCTCTCACTTGAGGTTTTCTCTGTCTCTTCCTGCAGGTGGCGGAGGTGGCTGGAATGATAACACTTCCTTGCTCTGGTCTGGAAAATCTTTGCTGGAGGGTGCCACCGGAGGACATTCCTGCCCCCAGGCCATGAAGAAGTGGGGGTGGGAGACAAGAGGGGGTTTCGGAGGGGGTGGAGGGGGGTGCTCCTCAGGTGGAGGAGGCGGAGGATATATAGGTAAAGATGATTCGTGTTCAAGGTGTCACTCCCTCCCCTCTTAGTCCTAGGCACTCCCTGTCCTCTCCCTGGCCCTCGCCTGCCCTCCCCCCACCCACCCCAAGTGTGGACTGTGATGTCACCATGCACGCTTTCCTCTCAGCCCCATAGGACCGGCCAGAGGCAGGGTATTGGCTCTCGAGCCAGCATCCTGCCTCAAGGCTTCAATAGCAACAGCTTCAAGAGCTCATGTGTTCTTGATGCCCCTCTTCCCCAAAGCCGATGATAAAGGGCTTCGATTTCCTAGACTGTTCTCTGAGCCGCCCCTAACGTCGCGCTGGCACGAGAACCTTGGAGGCCACGCTCCCCAGGCCCGTGCCTCCCTTTGGACGGCCTGGCCTGAGTCTTTGCCAAGCCAGCTCCCTAAGGGCCTGGTTTGTGGCCTCTGGCCTCACAGACTCCCTCTCCCTTCCCAGCCCCAGCCCACCAGCTTCCAGAACTTTTGCCCCCTCCATGCCGAGGGGCAGCCCCAGCCCAGCCCGTCAGCCAGCAGCCAGCCACTGGGCCCAGCTCTCCTCCGAGCTTCAGAGCAGAACCCAAGAGGCTTCTGAAGCTGAGAGGCTGAGAGGCTGGGAGGCTGGGAGGCTGGGAGGCTGGGAGACGGCGGCTCCACCATCCCCACAGATTAGGACACGATGCATGCACGCACTGTGATGTTCTGTCTGTGTTTTGCTTTCCGCTGTGTGTAAGATGCTTGCGTTAACCGGATGCTCTTCTTTTCCAAACTCTGGGGGTGGGGGGGAGGAACCTGAGGGGGGAGCCCAAAGATAACCCAGCCCAGCTGAAAGGAGGGACAGGAGCCTAAAGGCACAGGGGCCCATCCCCCCATGTCTCACCCTGACCCAATGGGACTGGAGAGCAACTCCTCAGTGCTCCTGGCCTGGCCAGTTCTGGAAGAGGCGCCAAGGGGCTAGTCCAGCCTGAGGACACGAGACCGCTTCTGATCCTTATTCACACGAACTGCTTCCGAGCAGCCCCCGTGCAGTGGTGGGGACTCCCCAGCCGGAGCTGGCCCGGCCGGGAGGGAAGGTGGCCCCCACACCCAGCATCTCCCGAGCCACACCCCAAGGGCCGCCCCTGTGCCCCAGGCCTCCCTTCCCTCCCCACCGCCCCGCCCTGAGGCCCTTCACCGCCCTGAGGCCCCGCATGCCCCGCTGATGCGCAGATGTCTTGAGACGTGGGCCCCCTGCCTCTCTGCGTTAAACTCTTCTCTGGTTTGGCACAGGCGGCAACGCGGCCTCAGACAATGACCCCGAGATGGACGGGGAGGACGGGGTTTCCTTCATCAGTCCGCTGGGCATCCTGTATACCCCCGCTCTAAAAGGTATCCCCTCTGCCAGGCCAGTTCTCCCACCCAGACAAAACCTCAGGGCCCCTGCCACGGGGCCAAGATACGAAGGCACGATTACGGGTCCCTCACAGGCAAGTCTTCCCACTGCTTGTCTCGGCATGTTTTCTGGAAGTCAGGAGGTGTGGTCTGATGCGGACATGCAGGCAGAAGGCTTTCAGGCAGGCCCGTCCTAGAAAATGCCTAAGCAATAGCCCCGTGACCTGGGCCAGCCCGCCCGAGGGGCACGCACTCGGAGCCGCCCATCCGCCCGCAGCAATGCAGCCACGTGTCCCCTGTCCGAGCCCCTTCAGCTGCGTGGGGGACTCCCCTCCCCACTGCTGTCCCTCAGGGGCCGGGGGACGTGGGGGCAGGAGCCAGAGAACCCACACTGACCAGCTAGAGACAAAGCACACACAGAGGCCGGGAACGGGGTGCAGGGTGGTCCTCTCTGCATCAACCCCAGGCTGATCCTCCCTTCTTGTCACCAGTGATGGAGGGCCACGGGGAAGTGAATATTAAGCATTATCTAAACTGCAGCCACTGTGAGGGAGACGAGTGCCACATGGACCCCGAGAGCCACAAGGTCATCTGCTTCTGTGACCACGGGACAGTGCTGGCTGAGGATGGCGTCTCCTGCATTGGTAAGAGGGCGGTGAGGGCGGTGACAGGCAAGGGGCCCAGAGTGTGAACCCACGGAGGCCTTAGCTGGTGTCCACAATTCTGAGACTCCTCAGATGCACTTTGGTAAGCGTTCTGACCCCCCATCTGTCCGCCCCAACGCAGGCACTCTAAGGACTGGGCAGAGGGACCTGTGTGTGAAAGGAGCCCTAAGGTGTCCAGTCCCACCCCTAAGCCAGGGCATGAAGCTCCACATCCCCACCAAGGGGCCATCCTGTCTGCACTGGAACACCCCCAGTGCCAGGGACCTCCACACTCCCAAGGCGCGCTGTCCCATCAAGAGTTTGCAAGCTGGACTTGCAGATCCTCTCAGGAGCTGCAGGGGTTTGAAGCCCGAGCTCCGTCTCCCTCCTACAAGTCTCCAGACGAAATAACGCATTTGTTTCCATCAGTTCACACGGGACACTTTCATGTCTCCTCCCCAACCTGCGTCCCGCATCTGCGGGCGTCCCAGTGACAATGTCCTTGTGAGATGTAGTGTCCAGGACCAGGCAGGATGCCCCAGTGTGGGCTGTGCTGGTGTGCACCTGGGCCCCGGGCAGTAACTCAGCCTCCCAGGGTCACTGACGGGCACCCTCTGTTCCTGGGTCGTAATGAGCCTGTGGTTACCCACGGCCGCTGAAGCTCTTCCTTAGCCTCTACTGGCTCACCTTCCCACCCTCCTGGTGTCATTGTGCACTTGATGTTGGGGATCAATGTCCAGGATTTGATATTTATCCCTGCCACGTATTCCCTCACCCAAAAGCTACTGCTGAAGGCTGTAAGCCAGAATGAGCCCCCTCCCTGCCCCTGGCCCTCTGCAAAGAAGGCCTCCGGGGTGGGGGAGGGGCGGGTGGGGTCTGTCGGGGCGGGGGAGGGTGTTTCTCTCTTAGAGCTAGCTCAGAGGGTGATCAGTGTTGTCACCCAGTGCCCCGTGGGCACCTGTCTTGCAGTGTCCCCCACCCCAGAGCCCCACCTGCCGCTCTCACTGGTCCTGTCGGTCGTGACCTCGGCCCTCGTGGCCGCCCTGGTCCTGGCTTTCTCCGGCATCATGATTGGTGAGTGTGCCAGAGCCCCGGGGCTTCCAGGGGGGCGGGAGGGGGGGCAAGGAAGGCCGATCTGGTGGAACAGAACAGCATCTTCTGCTTTGCCATGGATGCAGAGGTGTCACTCTGGGTGGGTGGTGATTACAGCAACCCAGGCCAGCCTCAAACCGAAGCCCCCTCCCCCAGCCCCCAGCACCGCCTTGGTTCCCTAGAGGAACTGCTGATTCCACACCTCGACCCCCCGTAGAGCCTTCTGGAGGCACTCTGCAGAGGAGGACACAGTAGCCAAAGCTCACCCCACCCCCAGAGTTCACTTCCAGCTGCCATCAGACCCAGGCTCCAGGGGACACCTGGCTGGGCTCACTCCCCAGGGAACACCTCCAGCCCCGCCCTTCCCCACGTTGGGCAGGCAATGCAAACGAAGTTGGTTTCTAAGTGTTTCTGTTAGGCCTGTGAGCCCAGGCGAGCTGATAGTCAGGTCTCAGAGGGCTCAGCGCTGTCCAGCCAGGCTCTTCCTGCTGGAAATGCGCAGGGCAGGTGGGCAGGGACATGAAGGAAGGCAGAGGGGAAGGCTCAGCGTGGACGGCACTTTTAGAACAGCCCCCTTGGGGAGCTGGGGGTGGGTGGTAAGGGAACCTGCGGTGGCCAGGGGGAGGGCAACAGGCATTATTCCCATATGATGCCATCCTTCTGAGGGACAGGATGATGAGAGCTAACACTTGCTGCACGCTTACCACGTGCCAGGTGATTTACACATTTTAGTTCACTGAATCCTCACTTGGCCCTATGAGCATGGTTGGTCCATTTCAGAGAGGAGGGCCCTGAGAACACAGCTGTTGACTCACTTGCCCTGGCCCATAACTAGGGGGACGGGGCTTTCAAAACTGAATCCATCCTGTGCATCACAGTTTCGTCCTGCCTCCCATGGACTTGGCCCTACAGAATGTTCTCACAGTTAGAGAGTAAGAGCGGTGATGATGGTCCCTTGCACCGGTAGGGCTCTTGAGAATTTTTCAAAACCATTTTACGCTGGTGAATTCATTTCATGATGACATCCCCAAGGGTAGGGAGTGGGGGTGCTTAGGGGACAGGCAGGAGTTACTGTCCCTGCTTACAGAGAAGGAGGCTGAGGGCCAAAGAGGTCACATGACCTGGTCAGTGTTGCTCAGTTGTAAGTAATGAAGGCGGGATTAGAATGCACGCAGGTCCTCAGGCACCAGTTGAGAGAACTTTTCAGTCCGTGGCAGTTTCTAGCTGTAGGAAGCCCAAGTGACCAGGACACCCAGCTGCACCAGCGACAGGGCTGAGCAGAGACTCTCAGGCGGGTCTGTCCCTGGGACACAGGGGACCCCTCTGAGGGCTGACTTTGGCTTCAGAACTTTCGGCAGTCTTGCTGAAACTTGTTTAGATTGCATGGCCCTCTCAGGTCCTCACTCAACCTTCCCTCATGCTCCCACACTGGGATTCAGATTTTCAGCACCACCTGACGGCCCTCCCAGCCTGCCCGGGCCCCTCCCCACTGCCACTCAGCCATTTCCCCTACTGAAATCGTTGCACATTGAATCTTGGGTCTGCTTCTCAGAGGACCCCAGCTATTGGGCTTCTGCCCCTGTATGAGACAATAAAATCTTTTCCATTGACATGATTTTAAACTGTACATCTCCTTTAAATGATCTTTCCTTTTGTTAGTATTACTAAGTGTGATGGAAATGTTTAGATCCCCGAAGGAGGAGATGGAGATCCAGGAAGGCTTCCTGGTGGAGGCCGCCCATGCTGGGCTTCAGGGGCCAGGCCGCCTGGTCCAGGCCACATTGCAGCTAACCTTCATCTGTCTGTAGTGTACCGCCGGAAGCACCAGGAGCTGCAAGCCATGCAGATGGAGCTTCAGAGCCCTGAGTACAAGCTGAGCAAGCTCCGCACTTCCACCATCATGACTGACTACAACCCCAACTACTGCTTTGCTGGCAAGACCTCCTCCATCAGTGACCTGAAGGAGGTGCCTCGGAAAAACATCACCCTCATCCGGTGAGTGCCCCATGGCTGTACTGGGGGAGGGGGCATGGCAAGTGGGGAGGAGTTCTAGGGGGCTGGATGTCTTCCCTGCACCATGGATTTTTCTAGCCACAAGAGGCCAGCAAAGCCACCTCTCAGGGCATTTCCAACCCTCCCAGGAGGAGAAGATTTAATGTTTGGGGCCATTTGGGGAGGTAGTTAATTGTTTATTTTATTTATTTATTTTATTTAATTTTTTTTTTAAGATTTTATTTATTTGCGAGAGAGAGAATGAGAGACAGAGAGCATGAGAGGGAGGAGGGTCAGAGGGAGAAGCAGACTCTCCACTGAGCAGGGAGCCCGATGCGGGACTTGATCCCGGGACTCCAGGATCATGACCTGAGCTGAAGGCAGTCGCTTAACCGACTGAGCCACCCAGGTGCCCGTTAATTGTTTATTTTAACACCCATCTGTTCATGGGGTTTGCACAGCGAGAGGAGAATAGCATGGGAGGGAGCCAGGTCATTCCTCAAAAGCCACTCAAGTGCTCCCTCCCCGAGTCTTCTTGGCCCCTCCTTCTCCAGGTGGAGCAAAGTGCCCCTCCTCTGAGCTTCCAGATCACCCCATGCCTTCCTCCATCATTTACTGAGCACACCCCGCAGGAGGGTCTGCCAGTGATCTGTCCCTCCCCAGGGCATGGGAGCCTTTCCCTGGGGAAGGGCCGTGTCTTCTTCACCTCGGTGACCCTGGCGGATATCAAAGACTTAGTCTTCATCGAATGAATGGACATTCAACCAGTGTCCCGAATCCCTGGTTGGAACCTTTCTTGCCAGTTTTCAGATAACGCAGTGGCGGCCTGGGATGGTCTAGCCAAGCCAAGTGGGGGGTGTTACTCTTGAGTGCGTACATGACCCCCGCCTCTTGTATGTCTCTTTCTCGTGGCCCGCCCCCTCTGCCTCACCTTGCCTTTTCCTGTGCACAGGGGACTGGGCCATGGTGCGTTTGGGGAGGTGTATGAAGGTCAGGTGTCCGGAGTGCCCAGCGACCCGAGCCCCCTGCAAGTGGCCGTAAAGGTAAGAGGTGGCTCCATCGCGGGCCTGACCTTGGCCGGCAGTCTGTGTGGGCCTCAGCTCTTGGCTGCCGCTCACAGCCTTCTCCTCCTTCCCACCCTCCCCTTCTGTGCCCAGACGCTGCCTGAAGTGTGTTCTGAACAGGACGAACTGGATTTCCTCATGGAAGCCCTGATTATCAGGTAAATAAAGCCACAGAGAGACACCCCCACCCCTGTTAGACGTTCCTGTCAGTCTCCAAGGGACATGGTGTCGTCCTCCAGCGTCCCCTGCCTCTCCACCGGGAGGCTCCCTAAAATTCTTAACACATCTTACCAGAGTGAAATAGCCCCAGGTGGTTGTCCAAGAAAAAAAATTTCTGTGGCCTAATAATCTGACGGATATCACTCTGCCTTCAACGAGCACCCCTGTGGGTCATCCAGTGGGGCTCCCCCCCTTCTCTTAATAGAGCATGCTAGTTGTTCACAGTGGACAATATACTTTCAGCCCCGGTAACTCTTCCACAAGGCCCCTCACCAATCCCAGCTCTCAGATCTTGTGTAAGGAAGTATGCCCCTAATGTGATGGAGGCCACCGCACCCTGTCCCACACCAGCTGGCTTGCACCCTTCAACGTGTGCTTCTGGGGCCCCTAACTAGAAATCTCAGTGCCCAGGGCCCCTGAGGGCATGTGCTCCAACAGCAGATCGCCTTCAAGAGGACACAAGTGTTTGACCTTGAGATCTCACCACGCTTGTGGCCTCCTGTGATGCTGGAGAGCCTCAAACATCCAGACACAGTGGGGTGGCCTGGGGTACCCCCCTGCGTGGAAGTGGCAGGGGAATAAGGCCAGGACAGGATGTGAGGTGCCCATGGGGTCTGGGGCCACAGGAGGATGCCCAGCAGGCTCAGCCCCTAGCTCTAAGGGTAACGTATTTTCCGATTAGACACATGATACATGATTATTGACTAAAATTTGGGAAGTATAAGATGATGTGGAAGGAGACCCAAATCATCCCTTCTCACTGTTACTGATCTCCCATCACTACTGTATTTCCGTGAAGAGCAGTGTAGTCCTTCAGCTCTGCACGAGTGTGCCCACTCGGAGTGCACTGGCCCCATGCCCTGCGTGTCCTAACAGGATCCCATTAGCAAGAAAACCCAAATCTTAGGGCCTCATGGCCAGACTCGGTCTCTCCCCATGAGCACCCATGGGGGTGCACCCAGGGCCCACTCTCGTTCACACACGGTCACCTGGCAGGGCTCACGCGGTCCCTGGAGGAAACAGTTCCTTCAGCTTCTCTGCCTGACAGCTTCCTCAAAGAACTCACACATGAGTCCTAGCCAGCAGTCCGTGCACCGATGGACAAGACCCTGGCCGCTCTCTTGCCGCCCCCCCCCCGCGACCGCACTTCCTCACCAAGTACCTGTGTAGCGTCCTTCTGTCTCCAGTCAAATACTCTCCTGCAGACTGAGCTCCTGCCCAGCCTGCCCTCCACTTCTTCCGCCTGCTCAGCAGTGAGATTCTCCCCATCCTAGGCTCTGCGTGGGACCCCGGCTACCCACATTTACCGAACGCATTTACATAATGCAGCTGCTGAAAACATAACTTTGTCTCCTGCTTTTCCCACTTAAGATTTTCCCAGACTCAGCTCAGTTAAATTTGGTTACTCCCCCTCTGCTCTGCAGCAAATTCAACCACCAGAACATCGTGCGCTGTATTGGGGTGAGTCTGCAAGCCCTGCCCCGATTTATCCTGCTGGAGCTCATGGCAGGAGGAGACCTCAAGTCCTTCCTCCGGGAGACCCGCCCTCGCCCGGTGAGTGAGACCCAGTCTTGCCCTAGTCGTTGTGCCAGGGAATGGAGCAGAGGGTGGGAGGGGCAAGAGTGGGCAGCCTGAGGAGCAACATCCTCAGTGGGAGGGGAGTCAGCCCCGGGGCTTGGATCTGGGGGAATGACCGGGAGAGATTGGACAGAAGGTGGATGCCGGCTGAGCCCACCCTGGGGAACTTGAGCCAGGCTTGTGCAATGGGTCCTCCAGCCTGAATCCATTTTTGTGGCCTGCTGATTCCAAGAATTAGGGACAAACACAGACGGGGACTCTCAGGTCGGCCATGTCATTCACTCAACCGACTTGGGGACAGGACATTCTATATCTACTCATTCTGAACCCCACTACCCTCATCTCTTAAGTGGGGACACCCTGACCTTGTAGATTTACTGTCAAAATAAAATACTGAAATATTTATGAAGGTTCTGCATGTGTGTCATGATTAAGGGGCTGGAGTTTTGGGGGAGCGAAGAAACCTAGGTAGACCCAGGAATGCCACCCCCCCATCCTGGTGGGCCATTAGACAACCCATGTGGCTTAGGACTGTGAACTCCCTAACCTCAGGATCGGCAGTGTGAAATCCAAGGGCTGGACTAGAACATCTTGGAGGTGATTCTGAATTCTAAGACGTAGCCCACGGGGCATACCCCGAGTCCAGCTGCCCACTCCTGTCCCTGCCGGGGTCTTCAGGAGGCCTTGAGCATCAGGAACTGGAGCAGAGCAGACCCCTGAGCTAGGACCCAGCTTCCTCAAGTTGCTGCTGGACCATGAAGACCACAGGGAAGATTTGCACCCTCCCCACCCCCAGGAAAGCAGAACAAGAGGACAGCCACCTTGAGCCAGAAAGCCCAGAACTGAACGTGGTGTTCTCATGGACTCAAACTGGAGGCAGAAACGTTGAAAGGCCACACCTGCTCTAATCCCCACCGTCAGTCAGACTGAAGGATACGTTAGCCCGGGGAGCCTCCGTTCTATTCCTACAAGCCTCTGGGTGATCTATCTCAGCATCTGAGAAGAATCCGGTCTAACTCCCTGCAAAGATGAGTGTGTGCACACCTGAGCACAGCTGACAGGAGGATGAGGGGAGGGGGGGTGAAAGACCAACCCCATCTCATAATAACCCTCATCAGCATTATCTTCATCTTCCTTGTGGTTGCCACATTTCTGAAAACCACCCTGTAAAGTAAACAGCGTAGATCTCACCTTAATTTTACAGATAAGAACATTGTGACTCAAGAGAGGTTAGGTGACTTGCTGAGGCCACACAGGAAGTGAAAGAACTGAGACTAGAACTCAGAACTTGGGACTCCTGATTCAGGGCTCACTCCAACGTACCATGCTGTTTATCCAAATGATTCTCTTTGGGAAGCCATGGAATACCAAGATGAGGTTGGATCCTTGAGAGCCCATATGGCCAGACATCCCTGCAGGGTATGGACACCAGCCTCAAAGGCTTTCCCACCACCACTCAGCAAAGCAGAGCCTTCAGCTCTTGTGCCCTGAGATTCTCAGCAGTGCTTCTGGCAGGGGTTAAATAAGGACACATAGCGTCACACTTTGGAAGGAGTCCTGGCCCTGGTTTTCCTCCTGGATGCTCCTGAGGCTTGAGAAGGAAGTATTGTGCACGTAACGGACAGACTTGCTTGTACAGGGGACCTGGGACCCCATCACTTGGCAAACCCAAGGACATGGGGGCAGGGATCTTCCCTCTCTCTTGCAAACAAAAGCATCTCTGTCTTGTGATGATAAAAATGATTTGTGTATTGTTCCAAAGAGCAAAGTACCAGCAAGGAAAGGCAGATCGTTCACACCTCACACCACCTCCTACCCCCTGCACCACCCTAAGGAGCCTGATGCCAAGTTGTGACCTCTAACTGCAAGCACCGCCCAGGGGATGCCCACAGCCAGAAGCTGGTCAACTCTCCTTGGGAGGGCCGCTTCTGAGGGTCAGGATCCCACTCACCAAATCCACTCTTCTAACCCTTGACCCCACTCTTCCCCTGCGTGGCTCTCCTTGCCAGCCATGCCCCCAAGTCCTGGTAGCACCCCAATCACCCTGCTCCTCACCTTCATACACACCCACGCATCCCAGGTGAGCTGGTCCTTCCTGAGACGCCCGCGCACGAGAGGTGATTTTAAGTGTTGGATGGATTATAGCTCTCCAGAGTGAGCCCTCGAACATGAGTTTGTGGCTGCAGCTTCCTTGGGGGTTGGGAGATTTACTGGGCGTTGGGCACGGATTCTCAGAGCCACAAAATCCAGCTTAGCCGGGTGAGGATCGGGTTGACTGTGAGAAAGGAACAGGCATCGTCATGGGCAGAGGGGGCTATACGAGTAACCCTGCACGGGATGAAGGATGGAGGGACTGGCCAATGAGCATCGCAGCTGGAGAAATACACACACCAAAAGACGGTGGGTAGAGGTGTGACACTCTCTGGATTCAAAGGCCTGAGTTCCACCTGGTTCATTTGTTTGAATCCCCTGAGACTCTCAGGGCTTACCTGACACCTGCTGTGTGCAGGCCCTTGGCTGGGCATTCGGAATCAGACAAGGTCTTGGTCCTCTCTTCCTGCCGTCCCTGGGGTCCAGCAGTTCCATAGACTATCAGGATTGAAGGACCTCAGAGACCGTCTAAGAGGCTCTGGCTTCAGATAACAGGTGTGCTGACATGAAGTGACAGAACAGATATGTGCAGACGCGATGGGACAGAATGGATGCCCTGGCCAACCCAGGCTGTCATGGAAACAAAATTCATGAAAACCTCATTTTGTCCCAGGACCTCACCTTCTCAAGAAGGAAAGATTAATGTCAAAATAATTTTACAGATCCAATCTTTATTCAACAAATATTTATTGAGGGTTTAAGATAAGCCTGATACAGGCTAATAGCTGTCTTTGGTATCCGTTCATTCAATCAATAATGACAGAAGCCATTAAGGGGTCAGTAACCTGTCAATTAAAGGTGGCGGTCATTAACCACAACAGTGTCTGTACCTATTTGGAACATGGCAATGCCTGTGGGTAGCAGCTCTGAGAAGATGCTCAGGACACGGGAGGTGCCTGTATCCCAGAGATCACAGTGTCCAGACGAGAACCTCTGCTTTGGGCTAATGCCCAAGTGTAAATCTTTGGCTCTGAGGTTGCCAGACCAATGCTGGCTCCAAAATGCATGAAGGGGCATTTGGTGCTGGTGAAAAGTCAGCCACATCAGCAGCCAGGAAATACGAGACCCCAGCAGCAGTGACTTCTCATCGTTTTTGACAATGGCTTTTTGTACCTCACGTTCCCTGTCTGCACCTGCTTCTTCCTTTCACCTTCTTGCCCTTATATGCATCGATTTAAAATATATCCCTACCCTGGGGGCACCTGGATGGCTCAATCAGTTAACCATCCGACTCTTGGTTTCGGCTCAGGTCATGATCTCGGGGTCCTGAGATCAACCCCCGTGTCAGGCTCCACGCGCAGCGGGGAGTCTGCTTGAGATTCTTTCTCTCCCTCTCCCTCTGCCCCTCCCCCTGCTTGCTTGCTCTCTCTCTAAAATAAGTAAATTTCTAAAATATATCCCTATTCTGTTTTTCACTGGTAAAACAGTTCCTACCCCATCTCCTGTGATTCTTCACCTCTAAATGGCCCAGGAGAAGCTACTTCAGGAAGGAATAGATACCAATATTACTCTGCATTTTATTAGTATATACTTACCCTTTGGGAAAAGCCCCTCAGAAGCTGTAACCAAAGAAATCATTCTCCTTCACTGGGCCTGTTTTCTGACTTGTAAAAGTAAGATATCAGTCTAAACAGTGTCCCTGAGGGGAACACCAGTGCTCTGAGGAGCTACACACTCACACGCATGTGCAAAAGAATTCCATGGTCAAACACATTTCAGAGCCATGCAGCCTGCTCTCTTATTGATTAGCTATGGACATCAGCGTATAGCAAAGACTGATAATTCCTGTGCTCAAGAAACCATTTTGACCCAGGAATTCCCATGCCTATTTGATCAAATTCCATCCCACAAGCCCGCTTTGGGAAATACTGAACAAAATCCTCTCTGAGTACCAGACAAGATATATGTCCATGACCATGGCTGCCCAAAGAATGTATGGTTGCCAAACAAAGTGCCACAGTCAGTGGTGAATCGGTGAAAAAAAAAAAAAACCTGATTCCAACTCCTTCTTTGCCCAGATCAATACAAATGCCCTTGGACACACCAGTTATGCTCTGCATTGCTAGTTTAATTATCAGTTTCACACAACATCTAAACCTTCCCCAATTCTCCCCCCAGACACACACACTCACACTCACTCTCACACACACACACACACACAGCTTGCCAATTGTCCGCTTCTGTGCAGATTAGTGGAGCAGTTAATTTGCTCTGAGCAGCCGAAGACGGAGCTCAGATAAACCTGGCCCATGGGTTAATGGCTGGGAAGATTTAGTCCCTGCAGGATGCCAGGCATTTAAGACATCAATGGTCCTTGCATCCTGAGTGATGGGGGCTAAGACACAAAGAGACTCAGGGGAAGCTATGACCAGTCCTCTTTTATAGGAATGGAGCATTTTCCTGGAGAGAGAGAAGATATTTCTAATACTATAGCAAAAAGGATTAATATTTCCCTTGGAAATATATTACTTCCTCCCCGCCCCCCCACCAGGAGATGGGTACTCTCTCACAGTGCCCAGCGGTTCTGACCCTAATCAGGCCCTCAGAGAAGCCAAACACAGGGACCATTTCCTGAGACCACCATGGTCCTCCATGCAGTAGCCCCTCCATAACCGCAGATCCTTTCATGAAGGATTCACTCTGTGCCTCTTGCTGTGGTCCCTGTAACAATCTAGCGAGGGTGATAGTAACATGCCTCTTTCTCAGACGAGGACACTGGCTTGGAGAGAGGCAAAGTAATTAGTCCCAGGTCACACAGTGAGTAAAGGACAAGCAGGGATGAAGCCCAGGTCAGTTCAACTAGCCACTGAACTATGTTGCTCACTGCATTTGTGTGCTGTATTCTGATTCAGTTGGGTACTATGCACTGTGTCCATGAAGTCTCCATCCCTTCTCGGACGTGTTATCCTGAGCAGCCCAGTTTTAACTCCTAGAATCCCGCCTCCCCCAACCCAGATCCGTAAAGCCCAGCTCAGGGTGGTTTGGGCTCCCGGCTATTGGCTGTGTGACCTGTAGTGAGTCACTTAGCCTCTCTGAGCCCTCAGCCTTCTCCTCTTTAAGATGGAGATACTGTCTCTTGCCTACAACCACACAGGATGTTGCATCAAAGGAGGTCATGTGCCTGGACTTGTTCTACTGCATGTAAAGCACTGCCTGATGTTCCGTGGGCAGAGGGTGTATCCTTCCCCAAGTTGTCTCCCCAGAATTGAAGCATGCCCTAGAGCAGCTCGACTCCTCTCTGCCTCCCCTAGATCCATACTATTGCTCCAGGGAGTCCTGAGGAGGCCTTGATCTGGGGCAGAGAAAACTCCCAGCCACATCTGGGAAAATCAGAGTTTAGCTGTCATCAACCAACACGCCCCCCCCCCCCCCCCCCCCCCCCCCCCCCCAGTATTCACTGAACCGCTGCCGTGTGCCGAGTATCATGCTTTGTACTGTGGAATTGGACGCTGAAATCCCCGCTCGGGGACCTCGCAGTTTACTTAGGGATATGGTCAAAGAAACACAACAGCAAAGTGAATGTGACACTGAGTGATAACAGGCTGCTGCAGACTTCGAGGACTTAGGAATTAAGAGAGACACCAAGGTGGGATGTAGCCTTCGGAAAAGGCTGCCAGGTGCCCAGCAAGGCTTTCGAGGAAGCTGAGACGAGCTGCACCCCCCGGGGGTGGGGTGACTTCTCCTTTTGCACAAGAGACTTCACAGAAGAATGCTTAACATAGCTCTTCACCAGCCCAGCATTTCCTGAAAACTTTTCTTTTTCAGTCCACTTTAGGTCTAGATCTTCTTGAAGAAGATTATTTCTTTAAATATTTTTTAACATTTAAACAGAACATTTTAAAAACCTATCTCCCTTGATTCCTTTGCAGGTTTGTTTATAAGTTTGGGAGGTTTGAGTGTTTGTGAAGTTTGAGGTGGAAGAACGTGCAGAATAGACCTGCCCCATCCTGGCTTGCTGTAGTTTGGGGCTCTCGGTTGTGGCTGCACGTTGCACGGACCCGGGGGGCAGCAAATCTGAAAACACTACGCTCCCCCAGAGAGGCGGGCTCGTTGGTTTGGGTTGAGGCCCGGACGTGTGTGTTGAAAGCCGCCTCGTGATTTCTGATGTGGGCCAGGGCTGAGACCCAGCTGGACAGCGCGTCCGTTTCCGCTCCTTGCCGGCTCTTAAAGGCTGTGTTTCAGATCTCTGCCCATGAGCTTCTCGTCAGCGGATCGCTTCTGTCTCTCCACAGAACCAGCCCTCTTCCCTGGCCATGCTGGACCTTCTGCACGTGGCTCGGGACATCGCCTGTGGCTGTCAGTATTTGGAGGAAAATCACTTCATCCACCGGTGAGTCAAAATGACCTTGCTCTTCCCTCTGCCTTCTGTGTGCTTCCCTACATGTCTCAAGCGCCCAGGTCCCCCCCTTCAGAGTACAATGGTAGGTCTCTCTCCAGACTTGTTTGGATGACTCAGCTTCACTTGTCTTTAAGATAATTACTTATTCTATCAGGGCTTCATTTACCCCATATGTAAAATAGGTATCATAAAATATCCTTCCCAGTGCCAGAGATCTAGACGAGCTGTTCTTGACCTTCCGCAGGGACTCCTGCCTGTACCTTGCAGTCTGCTGTCACTTTAACATTTTTCCCATCTAGAAAACCGAGCTCCTTAAGGGAAGTTAGAGCAGTTCATATTTTCACATATTTGACTATGGGGAACTCTAAGGCAAGGACCCTGTTTTATGCATCTTTGTATCCCAACGATTAATGTCTGTTGGATACATTAGTTTTTTCTAAAATACTCTGAAATGAAGCATAACAGATCATTTTCTTTGCTTCCATACTTCATTTCCTCTACTCTATAGGACCCTTATGTTTAAATGGTGTTTGACTGGGACATCAAATCCACATGTAATGCTATAGACATGATAGATTATACATATTTCTTTCCATGTGGATGTTGACGACTTTCTCAGCTGACACCTTGATTCTGAAATCTGAAAAGTCAAATAGATTGTTAGGCTGTCTGCAAAGCTCTTCCTAATGATATGCTTCTCAGTTAGTAAATACCAGCCTGGTGAATGAACAATCACTTTTTAACGAATGTCTTCAAAGAGTATAAGACATGTTCGTAATAATTAGAATATGTAAGTACAAAGCAGGAAATGAGAGAAGCTGTGTGAGTTCAGAGATGGAAAAGCATGTAAGCAGATAGCAAGCTATGCTTCCTGCCCTAATAAAAATGGAGAAATTAAAGATCAAGAAAGGCACTCACCTGGGCTCCTGAAGTCATTCCTAAAACAAGGCAATAGGGTGCTTGGGTGGCTCAGTCAGTTAAGTGACTGCCTTCGGCTCAGGTCATGATCCTGGAGTCCCTGGATCGAGTCCTGCATTGGGCTCCCTGCTCGGCAGGGAGTCTGCTTCTCCCTCTGACCCTCCCCCCTCTCATATGCGCTCTCTCTCTCATTCTCTCTCTCTCTCAAATAAATAAATA